GGTTAAGTTACATGGTTGCTGGCGTTTTTGTCTTAGGTCTGTGGGAACAATATGATAACCAGTCATTCAATGGAGCACGTCATGAAATATAGGAATATTAACTTCGCATTAACAAAAAAACCCAAGTAAGTTTTGGATGGATTAAAAATACTTGGGAAAAAATAAAGCTTGAAGTAATTCCTCAATATAACTTGGGTGTGTACAAATCCGAATCTTATTTTTGATTTGATTTATATCCAAATTGGGTAATAAGGAAGCTATTCTTACAGATACGATCAGTTATGTTATAAGCTACAATCGTGACGTTGTATTACAAATAGATACTTTTCCATTGGTATAAGAGTATATTCCACAAATGTAATCCAGGTTGCGTCGTGGAGAAAGTTAATTCGTTATTAACCAGGCAACTGAAAGATACTGGACCAATAATGTTTGCAGATCATTTGTCATTGTAAATGGTCAAATATCCACATTATTCATTCTCATTCAAAAAGTCAAATGGAAGCTGAAATGGTGAGAAAAAAAAGAAGACAAACAACAGCAACGCAAAAGAAAGCAACGGGAGTCCTTAAGGAGTGATTAATAAATATATACATATATATTCTGTTTAGTAACTGTGGTTATTTTGGTACACAAACTAACTAGTCCCGTTATGCTAACTTTTATATTATGTGTAAACTAATATTATTACTGTCCTGTGTAGAAATGTTAATCATCTAGTTCCAATAATATTAAAATTTATAATTGTAGTTTGTTGTAACTACACGTTTAAAGAACTTAAAATATCTATGTAGGGTGAAAAAGAAGGTGTAAGAGTCAGGCGCAAAAGTGCATTGTCATCTTTGAGTAGTCTGGTGACTGAGGAGATGAACACTGGAAGTGTGTTTGCATCGCGCACATTAGCTGGTAGTCTATTCCAAATGACTGAAAACTTATTTAAGAAGAAGTTGTACCGCACGTAAGTCTGACAGTGCTCCATAGCAGCTAGGTTGTGATGATTTCTAAGATTGTAACTGATGACAGCGGTAGGTTTAGTTATTGGCTCGGAGGAATGCAAGAGAAGATTAGTTAGCTTATAGTAAAAGATAAGGTTTAGCTTAAGGCGTCTTTTCCAGAGGGGTTCTAATCTTAGTCTTACGCATCGCTCATGGTATTCCAGACCACTTTCTAAACCAAGAGTTCTTGAGGTAAACTGCCGTTGCACTCCCTCTAATTTAAGCTTGTCATTTTGTCTTAGTCCGCTAAGAATAAACGGGCAGTATTCTAAGATAGGTCGGACACATACTTTGTATAATAAAACCCTAGTTTCACAACAAAAGAAATTGCGTGTTATGCATCCTATCAGCCTTCGCGTTTTACGTCTGGCATAATCAGTCTGTTCAGCGAACGTTAGGTTACTAGAGTATCTAATACCGAGATCTACGACTGAGTTGAGCTTAGCTAGTTTTCGCCCATTTATTTCAAGAGTTAGATCAAGGTTACTGTTGCCAATACAAATCCAGCCGCATTTGTCAATGTTAAAATTTAGACAGGAATCGGCACACCATGATGCGAGGCTACTTAGTTCAAGATGTATTTTAGTAACCATATCGCTTAATTCATGAGTGTAGCAGGAGTAGACGACTTTGAGGTCGTCAGCATATAGGAATGGTTTGCCTAAGGTGAAGCACTTGCAAATGCTGTTAATGTAGACTGTGAATAAAAGTGGACCTAGGACACTACCTTGCACGACCCCACTTGAGATCTGCCTAGGATGAGACAATACAGATCCAACTTTGGTTATTTGTACCCTGTTGCTTAGAAATGATTTTAACCAGTTCAGTAATGGGTTGCGAATTCCACAAGAGTACAGCTTCTCAAAGAGAATACTGTGAGATACCATGTCAAATGCCCTAGATATATCGAAGTAGAGAACAACGACTAGCTTACGTGCTTCGCGACTACTAGTGATGCAGTTGAAAAAGTCGAAGTGGCAAGTAACGCAGGATCTATTTTTGAGAAATCCGTGTTGAGACCTTGTAACAAGATCTTCCCTAATTAGGTAGTCTGACAATTGATCTTTTACAACTTTCTCCATGATTCGTGAGATAACTGGGGTTATATTTATGGGTCTGTAATTGCGGACGTTTGCCCTATCACCAGATTTGTAATGTGGAATTATGAAGCTAGTTTTCCACTCACTAGGGTAAGTGCCAGTGTCCATAGATATTGAGAAGAATTTAAGAAGTAACAAGGGTATATCACACCCACTGTTTTTGAAAATTATCGAAGCGAGGCCATCCGGTCCCGTACTAGTGGAAGGTTTAAGGCTTTTAATTGCTTGTACTATTAACTGATTAGTGAACACAATGCTTTCAAGGGAAGAGATAGTAAGGGGAGCGGTTTCACCAGGCATATGTGTTTCTAAACTAAAGTTTGCAAACCAATCACTGAAGAGTTCACAGATAGTGGCAGGTTCATTGTAGATTACTTTGTCGTGAAGTAAGTATGGGATTTCCCTCGCCGACTGCATTCGTTTTTTAAGAAGTGCCGTTAAGTTATAAACTTTGGAGGTACTTTCAAGTGCCGTTAACTCTTCGTCGAGGTCCTTTTGAGAGCGTAGGCGCTTGAGAGATTCAAGAGACTCGTGGATTGAGAGCAATAGTGATATGTCCTTAGTGGAATAGTACTGTTTCTTCAGTTTCCTTAACTTATTACGGTGTGCCCTTGGAATATATTCAGTTCGGTGTCTACTTAATTTCACTATTTTCTTTGGAGCAACTGTATCTAGACAAAGGGTAACATTCCTGTAAAACAGGGTTACTAAGGCCTCCAGGGAGTCAGTGGTAAAATAGTCATCCCATTGACAGAGTCGAATAAGTTCTTGGACTAATCCCCAGTCTGTATATTTGTAACTACGACATATTGTGCTTCCTGAGTCTTGTTTGTTTCCTGTATTTAGTGGTGAGAAAGGCAGAGAGCAGAGTACCATTCTATGGTCACTACTGGAAAATCTATTACCAACATACGTGGATACTGGGATTGTGTCATGACAAAAAACAAGGTCCAACATGTTGTCACCACGAGTAGGTGTCTGGACGTGTTGTTGCCATCCATAACAGTCTATAGTGGCAAGTAATTCGTCGAAGCGTTGGGGGCCGGAACTAGTTAGCCAATTGACTTCTGGAAGATTGAAGTCCCCTGCAATTATTTTGTAATTAGCACTAAACGAGGATGCGTGTGCAAAGGATTTAGCTAATAAGGTGAAAAAGATATAAGTTCTTATCCTCAAGACTCTATCCTACGAAGCTATGATTTTGTGGACAATTTACTTCTCACTTTAAAAAACACCCACAACAAAAACTCTTGTGAGACTCGGAAATACCTGCAGAAAGCTTGCTAAGACGAAGTTATTAAAGGAGAATGCAGTGTGTGTGGACTGCTTTCGTAAAGTTCTGAGCAATATATACCTCGAGGTGATGAAGCTGAGCAATTACTATAAGCTCACTATAAGAATATCTGTCATTTTGACTAAGAAAGAAATGCAGAAACATCTTTCACATTACCTACTTCTTATGTTACCTGTCGCATTGCTTTTGTCTACATTACCTTTTTTAATCCCATGGTCAGCCGCCAACCCCCCCCCAGCCTTTTATCAAATAATGAAGTCTCAAAATGTTAGAGGATAGCTTCGACAAAAGGGAAAAATGACTTTTGAGTTCTTAACATAGAGTCAATAGAAAAACCCCACACAATGTGACCTACGAGGGTTATACTAAGTGATGTCATCAACACAACGGACCAATTAACTAACTTAAAATTTGTAAAGTGAGGGAATGTTCAACAAAGTTAGAAAAAGGCGACGATTTTGCTACCACCAAAATCGCTGACTGAAATAGGGAAATACATACGGAACAACCATATCAATTCCTGAACCAATCTAGTGTCTACGATTTGTTATGCAAATAGCTACGATTTTTATGTATGCGGCCATTGAAAAACAGTGCTGGCAGGATGGTATGAGGAGAAACTTGGTGTGAAGTAGCATGCATTGTTAAATTATAGGATTTAGACAGTAAAATCCATACACGGTGAGTGCAAAGACGATGATACTACTTCAGAATGAGTTACAGAAAAAAAATGAAAGGTAAACACTACCTAAAAATTAGTTCAACCTGTATTATTTCAATGAAGAGAATAAAATACCTCTAAAAGAGAGAGAGCGGCGAACTATAACTTGCTTGTTAAAAATAGTGCATCTCACATAAGCTTTTTTTAATGATCTAACTAGACCGTAATGTCACTGACGAAATATGTCATTTTACAACATTTAATTTTTGAATATTGCATTAAAATAACGGCGTTAAAGTGTGGTGAAGAAAACTATCGACAGTGTGTCATAACAAGAGTATGCATCCACTTCCACAGAATCACCAAACTTTTCACCTGAAAACAGTCATTACCCTTAACAATCATTTTAAAACAATTAATATGAAGAGAAATAACGCTCGCTATAATTAGAAGACCTAGGTTTTTGATGATATATTTAGCCAGTAGAGCATTTTGAAGTATGAAAAATTCCCATATGTTCTTAATCACAAAACATTTTATAAAGTATGTCTTATCGGTTGACGATGATGCATTCTTATTTGCCTTTTACATTTAACCTAAGTAAATCCTGATACGTTATAACGAGAATTTCAGGCGAACATGTTAGACGGAGATGAACGGCAAAAGAGGGGTCAAGAAAGTTAACCCCGCTTTATCTAATAAGATAACTTTTTATAGTTGTTCGCTGACGCTAATGCAGAATACGATACGAAATAGATTTCCTAGAGTACTGAAAAGAATATCAGGTTTTAGGTCACTTTAGAAACACTTAATCCATTATTAGAGATTATCATCCTGCAAGTTATTTTCTCGGTCTACATCTGATAAGTTTTCTGGCTATTTTACTATGATGCCTACAATTTGTTTCAAAAACCACCCAACCAAGGTACACGACTGCAACTGAAAATCACTTACCTAACATTGACCATATCTGCTGGATTACCGACGATACCTCCACAAAATCCAGAGACCATGGCAATTACTGCACTTTCACCGAATGGTAATGGAGAGCCTTTGGATTGCTTATAGGTTTCGTACATTCCGAATCGAGTCATTGAATAAGTTAACTGTCTCAGAACTGAGGCGCTTATACCATTGTACAGGGCTAAAATGCCGTCTTGTTTGCACACACGAATCCCCATTTTTAACATTCCAAATTCTTTCTTTTGTTGAGTTTGTAAATGTACTTTGATGAGATCCAGTGGATGCGTGCATGCAGCAGCCATTGCACTAGCTATCCCACCGAAATACCATGATCCAATCTTCTTTGGATGGTTAGCAGTGGTGGACATTCTGGACTGTAAAAGCAGTATAAGTTTGAGAAACGAAGAGAACAACTGAAAACAACCACTTTAGTACATTTTCCCTTAAACTATTACATAAACTAGGAACAGATTTATAATATGTTCTACCATTTAGTGGGAACTCATAACTACTTTAAGTTGTGGCACACCTGAATTTCCTCTTGATTAGAAGCACTGAAATTACATCTGATTACTACTAAGATGCCTCACTTTATTATAAAGTGTTAAACGACATCAATATCTACTGTATTTAACCATAAGACTCATGTAGAGGCTTTCAACCAAACTTACAATAATTCTGAAGTAAACCTATCAAACTGTGAGCTAACGCTTTCCTCTTCAGTGCTTAAATTATTAAACAGATTTATATTCTGTAAAAGTTACCACTTTGTGCTGTTTTTCCACAATCATCAACCTACACTAGTTTTCGTCAAAACACACAAAATATCCATCTAGTATTACACCGCATTACCAACACATAGCTTAAAATTAGTTAAGCGTCAGTTGATATCTCCGCAGAAGTTTGTGAAAGTTGTTTTATTGACTATCATGCAAGAGTAGTGGTTCTCCGGTGGAAGAAATTGATCTAAACACACTAAATCATGCATAACGTGAAAAACAACTTTAAATCTTAAACAGAAACTAATGAGTGGAGAAGTATAACACGTAAAAGCGATAAATATCTAAAACCATGAAACTGGAGATACCGTCTCTCCTAACGCCTTACCTTGGGGTTTAATTAAACGCGAAGGCCGTGTAATCTAAGTGCATGATATAGTATTTCGAGACAAAGTTATCTTCAATGTTATCAATATTTGATACACTTTTTACTGGCTAATGCTTGTTGATATCTGTTACTTCTGAACCTCCTTAAATTTATACGCGATTACTGATGCCACTCGTCTGCTTCGGCATACCTAGACAAATATAGGGAGATAGTTATAGTCAACAGCTCTGGCAAATGCAATAAGCACGTTGGTGTATTTTGAAGCGGATGGGAGCACTATGTCAGGGCAGTAGCATTCCTGGTAATGAACAGATAGCACACTAGATAGTGATTATTTGGCATGACTAGAGGGGTCTTGCCAAATAATGTCAGATTGAATAGGCAAAAAAATTGGTGGGAGAGGACTGGTTACAGAACAGGTAAGGTGGTCGAAGATAGAAGAAACAAGAAAGATAGTGATATGGAGATATAAACGTTCAACAGCATACTAAAAAAGACAGATCAAAACATTCTGATACTGATAGCAACTCTCCCCCTTCCAGTGCTAGACTAATGAGTCCATGCGTAGTTGGCGCATCTCCGTCAGAGGTAGCTCAAAATGGATCTCCTCTGATGCATAGAATAGATTAGCTCCCCATAAGTGGTAAGTTCTTTGTTACACCGATGTACTCATAATCATAGCGTTACATTATTTTCAAAATCTGATCCATCTCAAATATCCAACATAGTGGGATTTTCATGCAGACTGACGGAGCTTTCTGTATTTCTTGCAACTTCTCACAGCTTCTATCATCTGCTTCAGAAGCCCGCAAAGTGACGAAGTTATTCTCTCTGAAAATCAAGGATAGCACATGATTGGAAGTTCCTCCTCACGGATCCATAGTAGGTAACGTTCTCCATGAGGAATCCATTCTGTCTACCCTCATACAGAACTCTTTGTACAGCATGGTGGCTTCTAGCGAAGACAGCCACGGAACGCATTGGCTGTATCACACCATCACAATGATACCCAGTATCACATCATGCACACTGATTCGGCATTTGTAAAGTGACCTTATCGACACAACTTCCTTATTTCTATTGGGCTAATATTTCGATCTTTAAACACTAAAGTTGCACACAGTTGCCGACCTCCTACTGAATTCCAAAGCCTCCATAGTAAGCTCCTGTCAACACAAGTGCTTTGGTCCATTTATCCATACTTTACCCATATAGTCTGTTCAACTAACTTTAGTACTACAGACCCCATTCCAATACCCCGAATTTGGGGAAATTCATTTGTCCCAGCCACCGTAACGCAACTAAAACGTCATAAAACCAGTCCAGTGCTTCCCACACGGCTTGCCCTAAGGTTCGGTTATTCAGCGTATTAGAGATCCTATCAATATCGCATCAAACGGGATTATAAAGTTTTAAGACTATCTACAATTATCCTGGACGTATAAACCCAAAGTAGCCGTAATAGTTTTTCCATAATATAAGCAAACTGATACTTTTTAATGTCTAAAGCAAGCCATATGAAAAGTGGTCATGAGTACTTAGCAATGACAAGCCCGGCCAATATTAAAAGGCCTAAATCAATCATGCGTAAATTGAAATTCAAACTTTACTAATTATTTGAAGCTGGAGATATTGTCTGGAAGGAATATGAGCATCCAGAATAAGGCCATAGAGCGTAAACGACATGACTACATAGACTTCACATTCTCATGGGTCCTAATTTTTCACATTAATACTGTCACCCCACCAGTTGTCGCATTCAGACGGACCTAGTAATTTGCGAAAAAACTATCCAGCTCAGAGAACACAAACACATCGAAAACAGGTCCTTGCTCACCTTCCTCAGGATACCTCTGCAGCATTAGCAAAGAGAAAGAGGCTAGCTAAAGAACGAAAACTTCACCACACTCTGACGAGTGCTTCACTAACCATACAAAAAATAATTGTTAAAAATAATAATGTGTCAAGATTAGTGAGTAGTAAATGCTTTCGTGACTTCGGCTTCTCGGTGAAATTCTGTGATCTGAGAAAAGAACAAATAAAAACAAGTACAGGAACTCTGAATCCCAAACAAAACATAGGAAAATAAAAGTCCCTTTTCTGCATCCTTAACAAAGAAGTACTTGAACGAACATTCGTATTAAATTCCTGGATTATGAATAGCGTAAGTTTACTTAAGGGCTGAATGTTGACCAGTCTTTCAAACTCGACGCTGCGGACAGTGGTCAAAAATGTTGAAGGTGCGATAAATTAGTTTTAATTACGCAAGGTTATAGGCGTAAAAATGTTGTGACGTAGTTTATGCCAATTTTCTAGTGAACAACCGCAGCCTGCGACTCTCTTGAAGAGTACATAAGCAATGGCTGGTCATGAGTTTAAGGCTTTGCTGACTATGTCAGTTCATGCATTGGATGCGTAAGTGATCTGTGCAGATCGTGACTAGCCCCCCACCCACCATGTGGCGAGTGTGTTTAGCGACTAGGTGGATTGCTAGCTACCTCATTCCTCCGGGGTTAAGGCGTTTAGAAAAGAATGAGACTGGTCCCATGCTATCATCAGTTAACCGATTTAGAGCTGCGCTTACAAACTTATCAGATACGTCTACCATTAGCGCAAGAGAAGCATCTGCATTGGGAGACCCTAATGTTGCAGTATTTGCAAGTGCATCCACCCGTTGTACGATTGCGTCATTTATCGTTTTGATAAATGAAAGACTTTTAGCCTTCCCAATAGTGCATCACTTAACTGTATATGTATGTACCTACACAACGTTGTAAATGTTTGTTCACAGACCCTAGTAAAACCATTATTTTTATATGTTGGTGTAACAATAAAGAATTCCAAAGCGGCCAATCGGTGTTTTGGTTTTTGCATCCGTTATAACCAAGCGTTTCTGAAAACTTCATGAAACAGCGTGGGCCCGAGCGTAGCAAGAGCTGGGCATTAACGGTTTATGAGACGTGGCTGACAGTTTCTGACGAGAGAAACAGATTCTGGTGAATTCAAACAGTTGGTGAAAGTTTGGATATTCGCCGTTCATTTTTCCTGGTGCCGGTCAAGTCCTCTTTGATCAAGCAATATCTGGAACGTTTTTGGAATTGGGTCAAGTTCAACAATGCCTGGGTCAAAGAAGGGACAGAGTGTCTTGGATGCAAACAGGAAAGTAAGTCATGGTGACTTGTCTGTTAATTGTAACGATGTGTCTGATGTTAAGCATGACATGGTTGATGTTACTGTTTCGCCGTTCAGGGATAATAGGAACATCAAACTCCCTAAATTTGAACCACGGTGTTTCGATGGAAACCCAGCTGATTATTTACAATTTGTAAAGGAGTTTGAGATCATGCTGAGTAGTTTTCTATTAAGTGATGAATTGAAGTTAATGTATTTGATGAGGTATTGCACTGGAGATGCTTCAAGAGCTATACAGTGCTGTAAGCTCATGCCCCCTAATGAGGGATACGCTGAGGCTATGAGCATATTACGTCAAAGGTTTGGAAGACCCTCGATGATTGCAGGGAAATTATTCGAGGCTGTTAAGGGTAATGGTGGTCAATTACATGATGACTCCCAGGCACTCACTGAGTTTTTAGATAATCTTATGACTTATAAGACTACCTTGATTTCTATGAATTGCATGAGTGACCTCAACTCGAGTTTTATGCTGGAAGTAATAGCAAGACGCCTACCTACTCGACTGCAAAGGAAGTGGGTAAAAATAAGCTCTCGTATAGAGGAGGAGGGTATCGAGCCAAGGTTTGATGATATCCTGAAACTGGTAAAAGATAGCGTCAATCAATCTATGAGCAAGTTTGCCAGTATATTGAATCTCACTCCTAGAATGGAGCACTCTGAGGGTAAAACGCACTCATTGATGACGAATAGGCCTTAGAGAGGTGGATATCGAGAAGGCTCCATGATGTCTAGTAATGCATATAAACTTATTGAGTGCAACAGGTTTCGTAGTACATCCTCAACAGATAAGTTACAAGATGCAAGACAAACACGGTTTTGTTGTACACGTGTGCAAGAGGTGCATGCAAAGGTGAACTGTGAACCGGTGAGCAAGTTTAGTGATAGGCTAAATGTAAACTCCAGGCCTGACTCCGAATTGTGTGACGATAATAGCGCGGTGAAGAAGCCTGTAGTTGCAACTGGTAAGCCATTGTTGAATAGTATGCCAAAGAGAAGAGTTACAGTTTCAGAGTCCAGTTCTGACCCCATAAGTTTACAAGGTATTACTAGTCAGAGTGAAGGTATAAAACCTTTAATGATTTGTGAGGACGTACCAAAATTGTCTACTACTGTTATTAAAGAGTTTGAAAATGATGAACTTGACGGTAAATTGAATATTCGTGATAATGATCATGATAGTGCAGATTTGTCTTTGGTTGATCATGATGAGATGAGGGATATGCCTACTACTGCTAAGTTAAATGAAAGTTCTGTCTAGCTACGACGTGAAGTATAATTGAACGCAGATGCAGTTCCAGAAGTTGTGCATACTTGTGAGACAGTCAGTGTAATTGATCAGCGTGTAGCCCACCTATCATCAGATGATAGTGCTAAACCCGAACTAGTAGTGAAAGACAGCAGTGGTGGTAATCTTGCAGTTAGACAACTATCTGAGTGCCGAAAAATAACAGCTTCTGATGCACCGCTATGTTCATCAACTGGTATCAATCAGTTGTCGTTGGTGTTGTCATCCACAATGAGAGGGACGCCCATCAACTCCAGTATCTTGTGCAATGACTATGATAGTATTGGTGCGTTTGAAAAGACGAAAGATATTGCTCAGTTTAGTGAGGATAAGCCAAGTGTAAACGAGAGAGTAATTGTTAAACTGACTTGCATGAATAAAAGCATTTCTAGTTTCAAGTTACTATTTGAATGTTATTATCTTTGGTGTAAACTACTCTGTTTCTACACTCGGTTGATGAGATAAGTCGTGTGTTTGTTCGTCATATATATTCTACGATACAATGATATAGGCGTGTTGCCGTTCAGATTTG